TCCAGACCTCCTGGTTCTGAGCCTCCGTCATCACCAGGTCCCTTCCTCATGATTAGCTCTATCACTTAGGAGTTTATCAGCTTCCTATTTCCTGTCTGACCTCTGCTGGAAGTAAATTTCCTGATTAGTTCTCCTCTGTCAAGTTGTGTGGTCCTGGACCAGTCAGTCCCTTTTGTTAGACCCCATTTTCCTGTTCTAGAAATCCAGAAGGTTGGACCAGATGGTCCTCAGGGCCACTTCCTGCTCTGGCATATTAGGCAGAAGGGAGGGGCCTGGCCACAGTGAAGAGTGTGGACACAGGGTAGTGACTGGGAGCCTCATGTAGAACCCGGTAATGGCTCCGTCTCCGGACCTCCCAGTGAATGCCCGTCTCTCCCCTATGAGGCTAAGTACTCTGGGCACAGACATGTTTGGGCACATGCCCAGTGTCGCACCGCTAGTGGGCGGCAGAGCCAGCCTCCTAACCTAGGTTTGGTCCCAGGCCTGGCAGGGGACCCCGTGGCAGGGGGAGACAGCGCTGTGCGGAGCCCACGGGGCAGGAGTAGGAGGCAGCCTGAGCTCTGCCTCCCCTTCCCTGTGGGCTCCTGTGTTTGGTTTTCGTAAGTTAGTTGTTCCCTCCGGCTCTGGAGCCTGCCTGGGGAGAGCTGCTTGCCTGCAGCCCCCTTTTCTCCTCCCACCCTTTCAGAAGTGAGCTCTGACCCAGCCTCTTCCCTGGGCAGATGCGTTCTGCCAACTCTTAGCGAGATCCCTGTGTGCCCAGCCCTGACCTGACTACTGAGAGTCTGAAAATCTATCAGGCACAGCCCCTGCCCTAAAAGCCCATGACCTCATGGGGACGAATGATAAGTAATCTTGAAATTAAAATGCGGTGTGTGCCATAATGGTGTGAGCAAAGGGCATTGAACAGAGAGTCTGAGGACGGTATGGAGGACTTGGGATATGGATTTTCAGTGGAGATGACCTTTGATTTAGGTCTTAAGAGATGAGTGTGAGTCTAATAAGTGGAGAAAAACGAGGGTGAGCGTTCCAGACAGAAGGAATAGCGTGTGCGAGGGCCCGGAGGGGAGCGCTGCAAGACGGTCAGTGTGTCTAGAGCAGCACTGTCCAGTAGAACCTTCTGGGATGGTGGAAGTGACCCACATCCGCAGTGTCCGACAGTAGCCACTGGTCACATGTGGCTATGGAGAACTTGAAAAGCGCAAGCCAGTTCAATTGGTGCAACTGAGGAACTGAATTGCCATTGTATTTAATTTTAATTCATTTTAATTTAAAGAGTGGCTAGTGGCTACCCTGGTGAACAGTACAGGTCTAGACCAAGAGATGAGGCTAGGGAAGAAGTCTGGGGCCAGGAGTGAAGGGCCTCGAATGCCATGCTCAGGCTTTGTGCCTTTCTTCCCAGACACGGAAATCCTGCAGATCCTTTCCACAGGATCTGTCCTGTAGCACAATCACTCCAGCTGCTCTGAAGGGGACTTGGAGAATACAGGAGCAGGGAGGAACCTGGGGTCACAGTCCAGAAAAGAAGTGACAAAAACTGAATGAATTGGGGCAGTAGGTGTACAGAAAGGAGAACAAATTCCAGGGCAAATTTGATTGGATTGATGGCAGTGTCAGGGATGACTCCCAGATTTCTGGCTTGGATGGCAGTAGGAGGTGGGGGTACCCTTCACTGAGATAGGGAACATGGGAGGAGGAACAGGTTGGGGGTCCCCTAACACTATTCCAGCATTCACTGTGATGTTCATGTTCATGTCCTTGCCTTTCCCCCAATTCGTCTGCACCTCCTGAGGCATCATGGGGGGGCACTTGTCCCTCAGCCCTCTCCCTGTTGCTGACCCAGCACCACTGGGACCAAGGAAGCCTCAGCACATGTTTTTGGGATGGGTAAATGAGTGGCTGTTGCTCCTGGGGCCCAGGAGGAAGGGGCATGCCTGCTCTCCCTGTTCCCTAGCCTTGAAAGAGGGAAGGAATTTGTCCCAGTCCCTCGGGTGCCCTCAGCAATGTGAAGAACGTGGCCTGCAGGGCAGTTTTCTCAGGGAATCTAAAGAGCCGCCCCAGGGGTTGGGTCTTATGTGGACCCTGAGAACCACCAAGGGGGAGGATTGCAGTCCTCAGCCCATCTTCTCAAACATCTGCTTCTCAGCTGGACTATGTCCCAAGCTGGACAAACTCAAGGCCATCAGGGAGGCCCAAGGTGCAGCCATTCTGCACTTGGGGGAATGAGAAATGCCTGCCCCAGCAACTCAGATACACATGAATCCATTAGGGATGACTTCTAGCTGTTAGTAATAGAGACCTGATGAAAGGAGCTGAAATTAGATGGGGGTATATTTCTCTCTCATGTACAAGTCCATAGGAGAGGACCTGGGCAGTGGTGTGCTAGAGCCAGCTTGCACCAGTTCTTGAGAGCTGATTGTGCAGCAAATCTCTCCCCAGCTTCATGTCCAGTGACCTCATGCTGATAGCTTGAAATCAGCTTTAGAGGAAGCATTTACACCAGGGAAATTGGCAAACACTATAAACTGGGGCCTTTTTTTTTGGAGGGCCAGCTTCCTAGGACATCACTGAGTGCTGTGATGGTGTGATGGCGTGGCTCCCCCTCCAGTCATCAGGCATCCAGGAGCCGTCTTCCTCCTACTCTCTGGTTTCAGCTTGTGACTTCCCTCTTTACAACTGACAGTGGTCTGAGATGTCTCCAGAGTTCCAACCACTGTGTGTGTATCAGCTATTGGCTCCCACAATGCAGGCTGTTCCCATTCTCCTATCTGACTCTTATTTTCATGGCTGGCTCCTCCTTATCCTTCAGCTGTCATCTCAGGTGTTACCTCCTCAGAGAAGCCTTCCCTGATCACCCTACTTAAACTTACCCTCTATTTCACACTGCTTTATTTTCTCAAAGCACAGGCCATAATCGGTGATTATCTGGCTCTTTTTTTATTTCCCTTGTTTGTTATCTATTTTTCCCACCAGACTAGAAGATCCCTGTGGGCATGGACTGGGTCTGCCTTGTCCTCTGCTATATATCCCCAGTGTCTCAGTAGTGCCTGGTACATAGTGGTTGTTCAATAAATATTTGTGAAATGAATAAGGGATAGTAATAAAAGATAATTTTGTCTTCAGCATTCTTCCCTTAGCATATCATCAAGACCATTTTTCCATGTTACTAGCTAGTCTGTGAGATTAGCTGGACTTGACGTTTAGTGAGGGCCCTCCCTGTTCTGACAAAATGAATGAGTGTGTAGGAGGTGAGAGTGAACAGGAAGTCAGCTCCCTGGCATCACTCACAGCCCAGACTGAGTGGGGAACCCAGGTCCTGCTCAGAGGCTGTTGCCATGGAAATTCATTCACAAAGCAAACGTCCTTGTGCCCCATCTCAGTGCCAGGCTGTTGATGTTTGTAGGGGACATAGGGCACATCCTGGAGAACTCGTGGGCTAGGGTGGGGATGGAGGAGAGGCAGACAGGAGAACAACTAGCGATGAGACAGGCACTGAGCTAAATGCCCAGTAAGCAAAGACAGGTGGACTCTGTGCTGGGGGGTGTCTGCCTGCACAGTGCATTTATTCATTTGACAAAGAATCATCAAGACCCTACTGTGTGCTCGGCACTCTTCTAAGCACTGAGTTCAGAACAGCAAAGAAGCCAGATAGGATTCCTGTCCTCTTGATGCTCACGTTCTAGTGGAGGAGACGAGCAATAAACACACAGTCAAATAAATGAGCAAGATCATCTGAAACAGCCGATGGTGCAGGAAGACTGTGAAACAGGATGTGTGACAGAGTGTAAGGGATGGTACTGTACAAGCAAGACCTGTCTGAGGAGCCAGCGTCTGAGTTGATACATTTATGACACAAAGGAATCATGGGGAGACAGTGAAGTGGACCAGCCAGAGGAAGCAGCAAGTGCAAAGTGGTGAGGCTGAAAGGAGCTCAGAGCGATGGGGGAACAGAAGGCTGGATGGACCTGGGGTGAGAAGGATGGTGGAGACAGGGTGGGGCAAGGGTCTGGTGCAAAATTGAAACATGTGCCTAAAAACTTAGTAATCAAGATGAATAAAATTTGACGCAATTTTTTAAAATAAAAATTCATGCTAACTGTCTATGATGAACAAAATATTAAATTTTTAAACAAAGCAAGATCGCTAGCAGTGTTAGACTATGCCATGCTGGTACCTGAGGCAAAGGGAAAATCAGTACTACTGATCCTGTCCTTATTTAAAATTGTAATATCAGGCTTGAGATGGATTAATGATTGTACATTGAGCATTGACCCCCCTATACTGAATTTTATTGTTGTTAACAACCATTTGATCAATAAATATGAGAGATGCCCTCTCAAAAAAAAAATTGTAATATCTACCATGGATTTCTGTTGTTGTTCATGGGTATCATGGGTTCATGGGTGTCCTCTGGTGTTAAGGTCACGGTCACCAGAACCAGACTGCCTGAGTTCCAGTTCTGACTTTATCCACATTTGCTTAACTGTATGCTTTTGGTCCAGTTTTTCAAGCTCCCTGTACCAATTTCTCGTATCAGAAAATGGGGGTCATAACAGTGCTTACCTTGGGGTTATTAAGAGGACTAAATGACTTAATATAAGCAAAGGGCTAAAAACAGTGTGCCTAGCTCCCTGGAAGCGCCCAGAGAATGTTGGCAGTGAACAGTGGTACAGCCTTGGTTCCGCTGGGAGGATTCTAAACAAGGAGTCCCGACTGGCAAATCAGGTTGGGGTGGGACGTATGTGGAGGTGGACTGGAGACAGGGAGATGGGAGCTCCTAGGACTGCCAGAGAGGAGGCTGTTGAAAAACTCCAGGTGAAAGATGGAAAAATGGTAACAGACTCTGAGATATTTAGGCTCTTGGTTGTTGAACCGCAACGGGTGGAGGGTGCTGGGCAAGATGGGGGCAGCGCTAGCATTTGTCAGGCCTGGTCCCTGCATCACCGAGGACCACCTAGGCTGGGTCTGGCCCGTCTCACCGTCCCGGCCTTGTGTGCTTTCAGAGGGAGCTGAAGGAGCAGCTTCAGGCCCTTCAGGACAGCGAGCGGGAGCACTCGGAGGCGCTGCAGCTGCTCAACCGACAGCTAGCAGAGACCAAGGTGAGCCTGGCAGGAGGCGGAGCTTAGATGGGCGGGGGCCTCGTGGGGCAAGGGGTGGGGCCTCAGTCCTGCTGTTGGGGCGGGTCTTCGAGGGGCCAAACGTGAGGTAGGAGAAGCTGGGCTGTCGGGGTAGAGCCCAGACTGGGGCTTCTGAGAAGGTAAACGGGGCGGGATCCTCTACGAAGTGACTGAGGGCAAGGATTTGAGCTGGTGCCTGGGTTAAGGGTGGAGCCCTTTCTCCCTCCTTTGGACGGAAGTTGAGGTGGAACTAGGGACCTTTGGGGAAACCTGGGGTGCTGTGGGGCTAGGAGAATGTACCTGCCCTCTGTTTCCTCTCTCATTATTAAACACCCCCATTGCCAGAGGAGCCAATCCTCACCGTGTTCCCTGGAAGCCCTCCTGATTTGTGGCCCAGCCCTGGTGTTCTTTCCCCTCTTAAACTCAGACCGTAGGGATATGGACTCAGAAAAGTAGAGCCAAACCCTGTAGTCTTTGGCTACAGTAGTTTGAAAAGAAAAGACCTTTTTCATGACCTATGAGGAAAACTGTAGATTCTGATCAAGCCAGTAAATTGCATACTTTTCTGGGCCACCAATCTTCCCATCTGTCCAATGGGGACTCTGCCAGGCTCCTTCCAGCCCTGACGTTCTGCATCCTAGCACACTTCCAAGGGGCTCCCTCCAAGTTCCCTCCGTAGAGGACCCAAGCCCAGCTGCCAAGCTATAGGGTGATTTCAGTCGGGCTCCACTCATTAGCAGGGGTGCCACAGCCAGCAGCAGCTGGAGCAGAGCCTTCAGAATGCTCTGGGCCTTCAGAGGTTGCCCTGCGGCTGGGAGAGTCCATGGAGATCCATATCTGTGCCCCACAGCCTGGCCACCAACCCGTGTGGGGTCTCAGGGATGTCATGACAAACATTCGTTCAGAGAACATTCTAGAGTGCCTCTGGCAGGACCCTCAGCAGGCAACAAATGAGAAACAGTCACGGGACTCTGGCCTATTTGCCCCCCACAGCCTCAGTCTCCCCATCTGTCTGGTCCTTCTGCACCTCTCAGGTGAATAGAATCAAATGAAAGCCTCTATCTGGATCAGAAGGGAATATTATGGTCTGTTTCTTCCTCAGCATTCTCTTCTTCTCTCCACCCCATTGTTTTTCTCCACTGATCTCTTCCTCCCCTGCTTTCCTGTCCATCTGTCTACCTCTGCGGGGTCCTGTGGGGCCACCTCCCCCTCCAGTTCCCTCAGCCCTGCTTCCTGTCTGGACTGGGGTGTTTATACAAGAAATGCCTATGCAGGCTTTGGAGGTCATATTTCACCTGGTGCCTGGCTCGCTTTCCTACAGCGCCTGCCCCTCCAATGGCCCGGCCTGAGGGCCTGTCTGATCTCCCTCCCCAGAACTCCGTGTTTTCCTTGGTCGGCCCTGACCAAGTGACATATTCTTGGCAGGGTTTTTCTGAAATGGCCCAGCTTCTCTGAGTGCTAGTGTATTGCCAGGGATGTGGTGGGCTGGGGTAGGGGCTGCTGTCCCAGCCACAGCACCAAAGGGATTGGAGTGGGGTGGGGGTGGCACTGCCATGGAAGTAACTAGAGTAAACAGGACATGCCAGTTGAGCTGAACCTTTCTCTGCACTGGAAACTGCTATTCATTGTCTCCCAAATCCACAGTGTCACCTCCCTGACAGCTGGACTCCCCAGAGCCTAGCACAGTGCCTCCCACCCAATAAATAGCTGAAGAACAAATGAGTTGGGAGAAAACAGCTTTTGAGGTAGGAACTGTTATTTCCATTTTATCAGCAAGGAAACTGAAGCACAGAGAGGCTGAGGGACCACCCTGAGGCCCCACAGCTAGTAGGAGGCTAACTGGGAGCTTACTGTCCAATTCTGTCAGAGCCTAGTTAGTGCACAGCCCAGGCTCTCATTGGCACGTCCTCAGCAAGATCTATAACTCTGTGGTCAGCAAGCCAGATAGGACCCATCAGGAGGGGTCATACTCAGAGCATCTGGGATGACTGTAATTCTGATGTCCCACTTTGAGCTCCCTGCCTCCTCCGCTTCTCCTACCCACCCACCCTAGAAAAGAGATAAGTGTCTGCACCCACCTCTGCAGGACAGCTCCAGTCAAGACCCTCCTTAACCTCCTTCACCTCTTACATGGGTCCTGGCTGCCAGTCTTGTGCCTGGCCCTGCATGGGCACAGGGAGTGCAGGCTGAGGAAAATGTCATTAACACCCAGGTGGGGTTCATCCACTAGCCTGGAGCCACGTAAAATGTGGGACAGTGAGTTAAAAGTAGTTTACAAAATTCTCTGGAAGCTACTTAACTGCCTGAAAAAGTTAGGGAAAGTGTCGCAGAAGAGGTAGCTTTCAAACTGGGTCTTGCAGGATAAGTAGGAGTTTGCCAGTTGAATAAAGGTTTTATCAGGGGCAGGGTCTGTTCTAGGCAGGTGGAATTACAATGCAACGGCACTGAAGGGGTGAGCTGGGATGAGAATTTTGCATTTTACTAGACATCAAGGAACCAAGAAAGGTTTGTGGGCAAGGGATCGGCTCTGACCCTGTTTGCACATTAGAAGAGTCACTCTGGCGGTGAGTTTGTTTGCAAAGACACAGACTTGACGTGTGGACCCAGTGAGTTGGAGCCTATGGCATCCCAGGGGTATGTGTGGAAGAGACAGGTAGAAAGATGAATGTCGCACTTGGGACATGCAAGATCATCGATAAGGACTTGTGAGCCAGACTCAAAGCAATAGGAGTCAAAGAGGAGGGAGGACACATAGAGTGTGGAAGAAGCGGCCTGGACAAGCCCTGAGGAACATCGGTGGCAGAGAGGGAGCAGCTGTAGAGCTGGGAGGCAAACCAGAACCGTCAGTTAGCAGAGGTGGCCAGGGGACCAAGCGCTGCTGCAGAGTGGTGGGGAGGAGCCAGAGGGGGGGTGGCCCTGGGATATGGGGGGGTCTTAGGAAGGCAGGGAAGACCATCTTCCCACCTGTGACCTGTTGCTGCAGGAGCCTCAGCCCACCCTGGGTGAGGAGCTCCCGGAGGCCACAGGCAACCTGCTGTTCATCCCCAGCCTCTCTCCCACCCTCTTTGTCTGCCTGGCGCTCTGGGTGGGCATGCGCAGGGAGCTTGGTCGGCTGCCAGCAGCTCTTCCTGCAGGCCAGCAGCCCAGCCGCTGAAGGGGGGGCGGGGGACCGGCCCTAATTGAGCCTTTGTTGAGCCTCCCACAGAGTCCTGGGCACTGAACACAGCGGGGTCTCTGACTCTGTGAACCCCCAGCCAGAATCCCACAAAGTAAAATTGCAGAGGCAGGCTCCACACATGGATGGGGCCTGGCTGCACTTCCACACCCCATGTTGTCCTGACTCCCTATTCCCGGGCTTGTTCCCTGTGCCCCCAGTGGACATCCTGCCCATTCTTCAGGCCCCAATCCAGAAGCCATCTCTCAATGAAGACTTCTAGGACAAGCCTGTTAGAATTGATCCCTTTTAATAGCCAGGCTCTTTCTCTGCACCTGGAATAACACCATGCACTTTGTGAAATTTGCCCATTCAATCTTCACCATAACCCTTAATGTAGTTGTGTTACCTATGCACAGATAAAAAGACTAAGGTTCAGAGATACTAAGCAGCTTGAGGCTGTCCCAGCTAGAGACTCAGAGCTATAGGATTCTTACCCAGGCTGTTGGGCACTGAAGCCTATGCCTTTCACCACTCAGCCCCCTCTTGGGTCTGGCAGTGCCCACAGGAGCAGAGAGAACCCTGCAAGACGACACTTCCCTTCTGTGATAATGGCTTTAGCCTCCAGCTCTTGTTCCTTGGCCAGGGGGTTTCAGGGCTGGCAAGACAGGGTGAGTGACTGCTAAGGTTTGCCCCACACACTGCAGTTTATAAAGCTGCCTGACATCTCCTTGTGATCTTTGTCTGAGCCCATGAGTGATGTCTTTTTAAATAAAGACTTCACTGTATCCCAGACTGAACTCAGCAACTGCTCTCTGCTTGCCACCTCCCCCAGCTTCCCCAACCCTCCCACCCCCAAGGCAGAATCTGGGATCACCCTCATATCTTTCTCCCCTGTGCCCCTATACCCAGCCCATCACCAGGGCTAAAGAGGCTCCCTCCATGTGTCTTTCAAGCCATGTCCCTCTGCTGCTTCTCTAGTTCACGCGTCATTGTCTCGCCTGACCATTTCATTATATTCCTAACAGGCACAGAATTATTTGCTGTCCCTGGCCATGCCCGTCCTCTCATACCATCTTGCTTTTGCATGTGACATACCCCCACGAAGTGGGCCCTTTCCCTCCCCTCCCTCTGGGCAAGGCTCTAGATTTCCTCCTCTGCCCAGGGACATAAGCCCTGATGACTGTCCCCACAGTCTTCCACCAAAAGCCTGCGGACCACCATCGGCGAAGCCTTCGAGCGTCTGCACCGGCTTCTGCGAGAGCGGCAGAAAGCCATGCTGGAGGAGCTGGAGGCGGACACCGCCCGCACACTGACCGACATCGAGCAGAAAGTGCAGCGCTACAGCCAGCAGCTGCGCAAGGTGCAGGAGGGGACCCAGATCCTGCAGGAGCGGCTGGCCGAAACTGACCGGCACTCCTTCCTGGCTGGGGTGGCCTCGCTGTCTGAGCGGTAAGTGCCTGCCTGCTGGAGGCCCTCCTCAGCCCATGCACAGTGGCGGGAATAGAGGCAGACATGGTGGTTTACAGAGAACTCTTTCGTTCACATCTTCATCAAACATTTACAGGACATCTGCTGTGTGCCACAGCCTGGGCTAAAGGCTTTATGTATTTATATTATTATATATATAATACTTGCAATTATATATTATTTGTGTTAAATCATTATATTACAAATACATCTTATTTATAATAACATTAATATTACATATAATAAATAGTAGTTATTATATTATAACCCTACTAGGCCCCTTGGATAATTACCACTGCCATCCCCATTTCACAAATGTAGAAACTGAGGCCCAGAAAAGCTAGGTCAATTGGCCAAGACTGCTCAGCCAGGATTCAAGCATGGGTCTCTCTGGTCCCACAGTACCTTTAATAATAGTAATGCTTAATTATTGATTTGTTGATGATCATTACTGATAGCCATTATGAGGTATTTGGTGTTTACCATAAGCCAAACACTGTGCTAAGCATTTTCCATATGTTATGCCATGTAATCCTCACAGCAAGCCTGGAAGACAGGTGCTGTCATAGAATCCATTATAAAGATGAGGAAACTGAAGCCAGTAGCTAAAGGGGTAGGCAGTGGCACAAGCAGGCATTTGAACTGGGCCCAGCAGACTTGACACACATGACCTTGCCCTGAAGGTGGCTGTAGGGCCCCCAGCATTGGGACAGAAATCCAGCCCCGAAGCAGCCTGCTCCTCTGTCTCCTTCCAGGCTCAAAGGGAAAATCCATGAGACCAATCTGACCTATGAAGACTTCCCGACCTCCAAGTACACAGGCCCCCTGCAGTACACCATCTGGAAGTCCCTGTTCCAAGACATCCACCCAGGTAAGCCCTTTCCTGACGCTCACTAACAGGGCCCAGGAAGAGGCAAGGGTCATTACGGGCAGGAGCTGGGGACACATATCCCAGCCCAGCCCCCTGCCCTACACACAGCCTGGGGGCTAAACGAAGGGATGGGAAGGGTGCCTTGCTAAGCACCTGCTGTGTTTCAGGACCTGTGCTAGGCATCTGTACAATCACTCAGCTCAGAGTGTCCTTATACAGCCATGAGGGGGGTTCTGTTAGTATACGCATTGTCTAGATGAAGACAGAGGCGCTGGATCATTCATTCATCCACTCTCCGCATACGGTACATATCAAACACCTACCACATATCAGGCTCTATTCTAGGTGCTGGAAACACAACAGAAACAAAATAGGCAAAAATCCTGCCCTCATGGAGCTTACATCCTAGGGTGCAAGAGAGAAAGCAAACAAGAGTAAACAAGTAAAACCCATAGTTTCTTAGACAATGATAATAGGGAAGGGGGCTGGGTAAACTGAGGTAGGATGGAGATTTTAGATAGGGGATCCAGTCAGAAGACCTCACTGAGAAGGAGACAGGGGAGTAAAGGCCTAAAGGAAGGAGAGTGAGCCATGTTGATATCTGGGGAAGAAACATTCCTGGCAGCGGGAATGGCAAGTGCAAAGGCCCTGCAGCAGGAGCAAGCCTGGCATGTTCAGGAACAGGAAGGAGTCTAGTGAGGCTGGAGTGGAATGAGAGGGAGAGTAGAGGTGAGGCGGTCAGGAGCAGCAGTGGCCAGACCGTGAGAGCCTGGAGGCCAGTGTGAGAACTTTACATTTCGTGCTGAGGAAGATGGGAGCTGCGGGAGGGCTTGGAGCAGTGCAGTGACATGAGCCTAAGTTTGTAAAGCGTCCCTCTGGCTGCTGGGCTGAGAACAGAATGATGTGGGTGAAGGGTAGGAGGCCACTGCAGCAATCCAGCTGAGAGGTGATGCTGGCTTGGAGCAGGGCCTTGGCAGAAGAGGTGGTGAGAAGTGATCAGATTGAGGGTGGACTTTGAAGGGAGAGTAAACAGGATTTGCTGAGGAATTGGATCTCAGGAAGGAGAAAGAAAACAGGGAAGACAACACTGATTTTGGCCAAGGTGACTGGAAGATGGAGTCATACGCGCACAGGGTTCACAGTGCTGAGTAGATGTCCAAGAGCTGACGTAGAGAAGGCAGTTGGAGCGACAAGTCTGCACTGCTGGAGAATGGTCAGGGCTGGCCACATCAACGTGTGGATGGGATTTAATGAGCCTGGATGAGATGGCCAGGGAAGTGAGGGTAGACAGAGAGAGAGAGAGAGGGAGGGCTACACTAATATTCGGAGCCCTGGGGCCTTCCCGGAAGTTAGGGACAGGATGGAGACCCAGCCAAGGAGATAGAGGAGGAGCAGCCAGAGGCATGTGAGGGAGGTGGGTATGTCCTGGCAGCCAAGGGCGAAGAGTGCTTCCAAGAGGAGAGAGTGAGGAATGGTGGCAACGGCTGCTTAGCCGAGTGGACGGCGACCCAGAACTGATGGTTCTGCAGGCCCAGCAACAGGTCTCTGGCAGCCCTGACAGGAGCTGCTTTTGTGGAGCAATAAGGCTACAGCCCCACTAGAGGAGAGAATGGGAGGAGAGGAAGTGGAGACAATGCTTTCAAGGAGTTTTACTTAAGAGAAAGAGGGAGATTGAGGCAGCAGCCATCTGTTTAAGACAATAACAGCACTTCTGTGGGGGGATGGGAAAGACCAGCAGAAGAGGGCAGCACTAAGGATGGAGGAGGAGAGAGTTGCTAGCAGGACAGCCAGGAGCAGCATCTGCTTCTCTCTCTGCTGGGAGCCCAGACGCCCCATCTTCGGGACCCAGAGAAGGCAGAATAAATGGGCCCTGTGAGGAGGGGCAGTGGTGGGAGCTCTTGGGAATTCTCTTCTGATGGCCTTACCTTTCCCAGTAAGAGGAAGCAAGGTCATTGGCTGGGGTGAGAGGTGAGTGGAGGTAATAGGAGGTTTGCCAAGAGAGGGGACAGTCTGAACAGGTTTCTAGGTGAGTTAGTAAAGCCTGGGACTGGGAAACCAATGCCTTCCTGAAGTCACACAACCCACATGGGCATCAGATTTAAGCCTGCTTTGTCTGGCAGGAAGCCTGTGTGCTCCTAAGTCAGGCATAATGTCCTTTAGAGGTGAGAGAGGATATGGAAGGGAATTCTTCCCAAGAGGTAGGCCCTATTATTAGCATCATTTTTTCAAATGAGGAGCCTGAGGTACAAAGTTGATAGGATCTTGACCATGGTCACAAGCTGTAAATGGCACAGCCATGATTTAAACCAGGTCTGTCAGACCCCAAAGCCTATGCCCTTACCTACTAAGCTACCCAGGCATTCTCTAGCCTCATACCAACCCAGGAAGCCTTCTGGGGAGACTGAGGCTCACTGATTTCCCAGGGTCAGTAGTCAGAGCTCTTTCCACCTGTCCAGATTCAGTCTTACCATCTTACCAAACATTGGAAGTCCCTCAGGGTACTTTCAGGGGTCAGGAGAGACAGACTGGCAAACAGACCCCATGAGGCAAAGGCTATGACAAGGGACTTACACAGCACTGTGGGGGCCCTGAGGGGCCCAGAGAAGCACCGAACAGGCAATGTTTGAATGAAGCAGGCTCTCCACTCAGGGAAGGGTAGGTGCCTGGAGGTGCCTCTGGACATCCCCAGTTTTGGGACCTGCATAGGCAAAGGCAGTGGGGAGGGGAGGGCATGAATGATCCCGGATGTTCAGGATTGGGCCTTCTGGCAGGGATGGATTGGGGCTGAGGACCATCGCTGCGGTGTGAATGCTGGACAGAGATGGGGCTCCCCTGTAGGTGACTGAAGCCTCATTTGATATATCATTACTGATTGCAAGAAGTGAAGGGACACTTCCTGGTACTCTTAAACCTGGATCTGTGCCCTTGCTGACAAAGGGGGCAGTAGCTGGGGAAGGGCCAATTTTCCAGCAGACTGGGTGGGGCTCTGGGCTGTCCTTCTGGGGCGGAGGCCTCTGTGTGCTCCCAGCCTTGGAGGGACCTCCACACTGGGACCCAGGAGGGTGAGAGTCACGTGTGGGTGAAGCAGCATAACTCAAGGAGACAGGAAGCACGTCCAAGGGTCCTGCTCCCCCCTCAGCCGCTGATCCAGGGAAGCCTCTCAGGCAGAGGGTCTCAGGAACTCTATTTGTCTCAGCTGCCACCTGCTGCATCCCTGTCACAGCTCAGAGAGGCAACCCAAGCATGTCAGCCTGACAGTCAAGGCCCTATCTGGCCTTGCCATTCTCCCCTCCACATCACACTCAGCCACACTGAACCATCTTCAGGTTTTAAGTGAGCCATATTCTCCCTCCTGTACTTTTATACATGCTATCCCTTTGCCTAGAGTCCTCTACACAAACTTCAATCTTTGATGACTAACTCCTACTTTCCTTCACATCTTAAACACCTCCTCTGGGAAGCCTTCCTGGATTTCCCAGGTAGTCTTGGCTTTCCTGGTCTCACTGTTTTGTCAGTGTGTGTGTGGTTGTCTCACTAAACCGTGAGTTCTGAGGGGCCAGGGGTGCAGTGTGATTCATATATCCCCAGCAGTCAGGACAGTAAATGTTTGTTGATGAATGACCCCTAGTTTCAGTTCTGCTATCACAATAGTGCCATGAAGTAAGTGTTCAATAAATATTTTTGAATGAAGGAACTTGCCATGCATCCTTGGACAAAGCACATCTTCTGAGCCTCAGTTTCCTCCTCTGTAAAACAGGGATGCTGGTGTTCCCTTCTTGATTCCCTCACAAGTGATCAAGTGAATGTGGGACCTTGCTGACTGCCCTGAAGCAGTGTTTCTCAACCTCAGCACTATTGACATTGGGGCTAGATAATTCCTTGTTGTGCAGGGCTGTCCTGCATATGGTAGATGTTTAGCAGCATTCCTGGTCTCTACCCAGCTAGATGCCACACACACCCCCGACCTCAGTTGTGACAACCAAAAATGTCTCCAGATGTTGCCCAATGTCCCCTGTGGGGCAAGTCACCCCAGTTGAGAACCACTGCCCCAGAGAAAGCTGCCTGTGAGAGAGGGGCTGATGGAGCATTAGTGTGTGCCCTGAACATCCCGCCAAGGACAGGGCCCTGGGAGTTCAGAGAACAGTGACCTAGTTACCAAGCCGCTGCCTTTGTCTGTGGGGCCTGTGAAGTCACTCTGGCCCTTCTGCCAGCACCAAGGCCCTTCACGTCCAGATAGGAGGGGCAGGTGCCCCTAAGGACCTATCCCATGAATTCTAGCAGCTTCCTACTTGCCCCCTTTCTGGCTCAGGCTTCCTATTATGTCACTTGAGAACTCCATCCAGCACCTGTCACTCCCCTGCTCTGGAACCTCCACTCTCCACTCTGCCCTACCCCCTGTCCTCCTCTTCAGCTGACACTGAAAACCTTCCTCCAACTGCCTGACCTGATTGTCCCAGCTCCCAGGCGCAAACTCCCTCCCCAGCCAGGTGGCCATTGTCTTGAGGTCACCAGACACTGCTTCCCTTGCTCCTGCCACCTCCCTTTTCTGGGCTGCCCTCTCCTCCCTGCTGCTTACCTGAATTCAATCATTTGGGGTTCCAGCGTGTTCACTGCCTAGCTGTGTGACTCAGGGCAAATTGCTGCCCTCTATGAGCCTGTTTCCTCATCTGTAAAACAGGGATGGGGACAGTGAGTAGGTGTAAGAATTAAGTGAAACCACTTATTTGTAATAATAATCCTGGAACTTAGTAAGTTCTTGATACCTGTTTGTTATTATCATGATTCATCAAATGGTTCCTTAGTCTTGCAGAACAGGCTTTCTGGGGCCACTTAGAGGATAGAACATGATGTGAAAAGACCTTATTTCAAGTTCCACCTCTACTTCCACCTCAAGTGGAAACTTGGGCAAGCCCCTTAACTCAGAGAAGTCTTCTTGGAGCCTCAGTTTCCTATTCTGAAAAATGGGTACCATAATTTATGCTTCTGGGCTTCTGTGGTGTTCCCGTGAGCTACCTGTGAACATGTTTTTCAAATACCAACACTGTGCCGCTGATGGCCTAAGTAAGTGGGAGGCCTGAAGGACCAGATTTTTTAAAGGCTTGGCCAGAGGAAATTGCTGATGGTATCTCCTGTTCTAGAAGGCCCCTGAATGCTGGAAGCAACTGTTCTTGAAAACAAAAAAGCATAAGCCACTCACCGCCAGGTGATGGCACTGGGCAGCGCGGTTTCTCTGCTATTTGGGCCACTATAGTGTGTGGTTGATGATGGTCAGGAGACATTTCCTAGGGCCTCCATAGTCCCTGATCATTCCTGAATGCTTTTTGACCTTGGGTCTCAGAGAGGTTCAAATGGGCAGAGAACACGCTTGGGGCCTCAGCACCTGCTTTTTGTTTTTATAAAACAATGTCACAAGTCCCAGAAAAGAGCTCTGGCCTGTAAAATAGTGAACTCCCAGGTACTGGATTTGTTTCTCTGGGTCTGTCACCTTTCCTGAGACTAAAGGATGGGTGGAGGGATTTCCAGCCCCTACACAGGACTGGCTTCTTACAGAGGGAAAAAGTTGCCATTCCCCCTTCTGGGTCTTTCTCTGGTCTGAATGCTGTTAATCCTACCAGCCTGCGCCTCAGCGAGGGCATAAGGGAGCCTAGAAGATAGGTGCTGGATGGAGTTCTCAGGTGACTCTGTTTATAAGGTGGTGAGGGCTTGGAAACGGACCTCTGCCCCTTGGGGTGTAAAAGCCGTGTATAGGTCAGACCACGCCCTCGGCCTAATATGAGCGAACTCTGCCTGCCAATCAGTCCTGCCTCCTGTTACCAGGCCCCGCCCCCCAGTCCCGCCTCTACTTCCACCACTGCCCAGTGTGAGCTGCAGGTCCCTCTCCTAGGCCTAGGCGGGCCTTGCACTCAACGGGTCTGTTGGCCTTCAAGCTCTAGCGTCCAGGCCCCGGAGCTGGCTCTCAGTGCTGCCGGCTCATGCAGCTTGTCTCTGTGGCCCAATCCCAGAACCACTGAGAGCCCCCTTGGCTGCCTCCTAAGATAGCCACCCCACTCCAGAGGGGCACCGAAAGTGGCCCAAATTATACTAGATACGTTTAAATCTGGGGCTGATAACCTCCTGCCTGTGTGCCAGTCTCTCTCCCGTCCTTCTGTCCTGAGCTGCAGTTTCTGCCTGTTCTCATCTCCTCAAACCATCCTGGGCACCTCAGATATAAAGCCCAGATTCCCACATGGCCTTCAGAACTGCTGCTGCCCACTCCTCAGCATTGTACCTGCTCTGCCCCTCTGCTACAGACGTCCAAGGGTGTCCCACATTATATGGCCTGTAGGAGTGGTCCCATCTGTGTCTGATTAGATTCTTCTCTCCCTAGCTTCCCTACTACACACACTTCCTACTACATTAGGGTAGTTCAAAGACTGGCTTTTCCCTGTGGGGGCAGGTGCCATCATTGAGACATTTTATTTCTGTGTGTGTACGCAGCCCACAGAGGTGACTGAAGTAAGGGTAATGCGCCTGACAAGTGTAATCACACCCCTCCTCCACCAGATAAGGAACGCAGCAGAAAGCCGGACAAAGAAGTCCTTCCTTTGCCCTGAGGATCCTTGGCAGGACTCCTTGTCCCCACCTTTCCTAACTCCATCTGTTCTGGCCTAGAAATGGCCTTGCAGGCTAAGGAGGGCCACTTCCAAGTTCCACCTACTCTGCCTGGGCATCAACTCCCTCAAGGAGGAAAGAGTAAACAGAGGGTTTGACAAGAGTTTATGAGACTCCAAGAGCCCGACCTGCTAAGCTAGTGTAGCCAGTCCAGAGCCAGATGACCCAGCCAGTGATGCCTGCCCCCAAGAACAGTACAAGCAAGGTCGGTTTGATTTGGTGAGCCTTTCTGGGAAATTTCCCATGCCACGTTCTGCACTGGGCACTGGGTATACATAACCTCAAGTACATATATAGACACATATACACACACATATACTCTGACTATAATATGAAGGAAAATATTTATAATAAAATATTATGTATGTCATATGCAGATGTTCACTCACAACTACACTGGAAAATACACTGGAAGTAGTTAGGTGCTCACACCATAGGTAAAAATCCCATTGTGTCTGCAGTACCATCCAAAACAGGCAGGTTATATGGGTCAGTGCAATTGTTCTTAGGAGAAGCATTTCCCAAAACGTGAACCATTCTCAGTGGAGTTTCAATCAAAACAAATTCAGTCTTCTCTTAATTTACACAGCATCCCAAAATACTCAAAGGTATATAAAACTACACAAAAATTAGTTCATGTTTATATAGTAAATGGGGTTAAGTTGTAGTTTCAGATCATTACAAAAAAGATTTTTCATCCACATGAATGCCCAATGGAACATATGAGAATTATTGGTGGGACAGCCCTGTGCATTTAATTCAGGGCATTTAGCATCCCTGGACCCCCATCTACTGAGAAAACCAAAACACCCCTATAGATTTCCAAGTCACCCCCTAGGGTGATTACCAGCAACTGGATAATCTTCAAGCTCCCTCCTAGCCCTGAAATTCCCTAATTCTGGACCTCATTCTGGTTTATTCAAGAACTCTTGTTGAGCACCCACTATATGCCTTGCCCCAGGCAGTTAGCAAGCAGTCATAGCTCCTGCTCCTCTGCAAATAAATGTAAGTCTGAAAGAACCTTAGCCATCACCCTGCCATTTTACAGAGGAGGAAGCTGAGGCCCAGACAGGACAGGCTTGTATTCAGCATCACACAGCTTCTTGGGGACCAACCAGAACCTGGCCTTCAGGGAGGCACCGCAGAGTGCAGTCTTCTCTCCACTCATCCTCCCTCCTTCCTCCATCCCCTGCAGTGCCAGCCGCCCTGACCCTGGACCCAGGCACTGCCCATCAGCGCCTGATCCTGTCTGACGACTGCACCATCGTGGCCTATGGCAACCTGCACCCACAGCCTCTGCAGGACTCGCCCAAGCGCTTCGACGTGGAGGTGTCAGTGCTGGGCTCCGAGGCCTTCAGCAGCGGCGTCCACTACTGGGAGGTGGTGGTGGCCGAGAAGACCCAGTGGGTGATCGGGCTGGCACACGAGGCCGCAAGCCGCAAAGGCAGCATCCAGATCCAACCCAGCCGCGGCTTTTACTGTATCGTGATGCATGACGGCAACCAGTACAGCGCCTGCACCGAGCCCTGGACGCGGCTCAACGTCCGCGGCAAGCTTGACAAGGTGGGCGTCTTCCTGGACTACGACCAAGGCCTGCTCATCTTCTATAACGCCGACGACATGTCCTGGCTCTATACCTTCCGCGAGAAGTTCCCCGACAGGCTGTGCTCCTACTTCAGCCCCGGGCAGAGCCATGCCAACGGCAAGAACGTGCAGCCCTTGCGGATCAACACCGTCCGCATTTAGCGCGGCGGCGGAGGGAGACAGCAGGCGCTGGGCCACGGCCACCAGCAAGATCCCTGCCCTGGGGAAGGGAGGCGGGGCTCCGGCCCAGCTTGGCAGCTATGGGGTGCCGGGCGGTTGTTCACCCTGCAGCCTCCATTTTCGTCAGTAAAATGGAGGCTGTGCTCCATGATTCCTAAACTCTCTAACAGCATTGATGTTCTGTAACTCTGACCTTGACGGGGGTGCAGCTTTGGTCCAAGGATGTGACACAGCTTCTCCTCAGGGCAGCCCCTGCCCAACCCTTATCCCCATCCTCTCAGGGACAGGGGACTTCCTCCCTTTGTCTCCCTCCTGCCCGGACGCCCGATCTCAGGATGTGTCAGAGTGTTGCCAGCAGGTGGCAGCAGCGAAGATACACAGAACTCATGCTCCCAGGCCTGATGCCCTGACCCAGCTAGTGATGGGCCCTTTTACCCTTGACCCCAGCCCACATGGACACAGGCAGTAGCTGGTCCTAGGGTTGCCGAAGAACCACCCTCCTCTTCTACCTCCGACCCAAGAGCTTAACAGTTCCTGCTCTTCCCACTTACCTGCAGGCAGAGATGGTGCTATGGCCTGCGGAAAGCACCCAGTAATTGAGCCCACGTTAGTCCCTGAGCCACCACCTTCCTGCCCACAGGTCTAATGACAGGATGATGGCACTCACCGAGCCCACTAGCCTAAAGGCAGCTGCGGGACAGCATCGCTGGATGATGGAGGTTCCCTGCAGCTTGGGAAGGGGCCAGCCAGGCCTGTGACCAGGCTAGGCTGTGAGGAGCCACTGTTTTAGCCCTAAGGACCTGAGTGGTGGGACATGCTGTTGGCTGGCACCTCTCATCAGGCTTGGCATTCATCTCAGGATCATGTTGCAGAAAAGAAGAGCTGCTTTTAGCTAGTTTAATTAGATAAGATTTATTACTAGGCCCCCGATGGCTTTATAAAACCACTGGAAGGGCTGGAGATGCAGACTATTCGCTGAAATTTCCAGGACCACCTCCCAGACAACAGATTCATATGGTCTCTCCTGCCCAGGAATGCTTTGAGAAGCCACTGAATCAGGCAGCCACTGACGACTGTCTCTTGTGCTACCATCCAAGTCAGCAAATGGACGTCCCTAGACCTGCCTCTCTCCCACTCAGTTCAGTTCCCAAATCCAAATCACTATAAGGGATTTTTTTGGGGGAAACTTAGATGAGATCCAGAACCTTGGTTACAAGAGGGCCTGGGAAATGTAGTTTTCTCTGTAGCCTCAGTCACATCAAAAGGCCAACCAGAAGGAAGAAAGAATGGATGTTGAACATCCATCCATGGTTTTTACCACAAGTCTTTGGCTTTGAAGCAGCAGAACCTCCGTGGCTGTGTGCCTGCCCAGGGGCCGGAGCCAATGGGTAGGCCTGCAGGACCAAGCAAAAATGTCTCTCCAGCCATAGCTTTTCTTTCTAGTCCTGGGTCCTAGATCCTGAACTTGGGGTCTCTGCCCATACCCATCCCAAAGGAGCCAGACTAATTTAACTCAGCAGCTCCCACCTCACAACTGCTACATACAGGGCCTCCCTTGGGCAGGGGAAATCCTCAGCAGTCACCCCACCCATTCATCTACCAGAATCTGGGCCACTCCAACAGTATTTTTTTTTTAAATATTGCCCATTTTGTGAGTTATGATGAATTTGTATTAAATTAAAGTTACAGGGTGTCAGTGGTCAGTTCCATTCATTTTGACAAACAAAAAGGCCCATCTATTCTGTCCAAGGCAATGTACATACATTAGCATGGCTAATCCACAAAGCAACCCTAATAGGTAGATAGTATTCTGTCCATTTTACATAGGTAGAAAAATGAGGTTCAGAGAAAGGACATGACTTGCCTACAGTCCCGTATCCCAAAGTGATAAGTGATGGGGCTTGGATTAGAATAAAGCCAGCACTCACATCCCAACTTATTAGCCTGGAAGACTCAGTCTTTGCTTGGAGGAGGGGGTGGTGGTAGCCTTAGGAGCAGAGAGCTCATGAGACATTGGCAAGAGTCTGGTCTCTTGTATTTCACAGAACTGGCTTGAATCCAGGCTCCATCACCACATGACTTTATAAAGAGATGACTTAACCTCTCTGGTTGTGTTTTCCTACATGGAAAGTAGGGATAATAACACCATTCTAATGATTTATTGCTAAGCTACAAAGTACAGTGCACTTGGGGAGGCCCTGCCTCTCACTCCAGCTGCCTCTCAGAGTCAGTGCCTGGAACTGTGTGTTTTCTGAACGTCTGGGCTGGCTCTGACCACAGGAGGTCTATCTTCCTCCTTATGCCTTGTGTGGGGTATGGGACCACCTAGGCCAGGTAAGTCCCCAGGTCTGCTGTGTAGAACTAGGTCCAGCCCACCACTGAATGATGGGGAAGCAGCCTGGAGTCAGGCGGGGCCCTGCATATGGACACACAGGTTGTCACAGTGTCAGTGGGAAGACCACAGGGGCCCCTGCAGTAGTGCAGTGCAGCAGCCTGTGAAACAGGAGTCTTGGGCCTAATCTTAGTTCCGTGCTGACCCACTTTGTCTGAAGATCCTTTCCTCAGTCTCCTTACCTGCAGAGTGAGGGAGGTTAGACTGGATACTCTTTGGGGCCCTAGATGGATCTTCATCTGTATATACCTGGAGGTGGGAAGAGAAGAGGGAATCATCCCAGTCACTGACCTGTTTGGGGTTCTAGGAAGAGAGACATGAACAAGGATTGGGAGGGCTGTTGGCAGGGGCAAAAGAAAGGTCTCTGATTGGATGATAGAGAGCACCCCAGTTTCTAAAGTTAGGGAGAAATGATTCTGAGACTTGAGTATCCCCAAACCCTCCTACCCCACCCCATGCTCTCAGATCCCTGTGGCTCCCCCAAAGCCACTTGCCTCCATCTTTGCTCAGTGGATCTGTCCTCTCGGGGAGAAGCACCCCTTCCAAGGTCCTTCCTGCCCTTCCTCCATTTAGCCTTGGTCCATGCTGGCCACTTCCCAGTCGTCACTCAGTTTCCAAGTGCCTGGGAATAACAGTAGATGCCTAATTTGCACATTCAACTAGGGAATCTGGGAAATCAGGGCACCTCTGAGAGGTATGAAATATCCAGAGAACTCTTGAATAAATGAATCTGGGCTTGTCAGGTTCATACCAGGAACCCCACATTTAACACAGGTAAGCAGAGGGGAAGCAAAGGTAGCCCATCCTTGGGAGGAAGGAGGGATAAGCAAAGATCTTACTCAGGGCAGAAAAGAACTGATAGAACAACAGTAACCCTATTCAGATCCCTGTGTGTGGCCAGCAGGCAAAGTGCTGGTACTTTTTGCACATTATCGACATCAAGACAAGCCCATGAGGTTGGTATCATTATCTCAGCTTTTGCGCAGAGAAACATCGTGTCCCAGGGGAACTGCTTCCCACAGCCATTACTCAGTAGAGCTGGAAATAGCACTGGCCCATCCAAAGGTAAGGTCAAACTGTAAATGCTTTTCAACTTTGAGGACGGCGTCAGTGACAGGCAACAGCCACCGGAACTGTGATCCATCTGGGATTCAAAGCAGGAGCTTAACCCAGGCTCCATACCATCGTGGAATTGTGCAATTGTGAGTCAAGCCTCAACTGTGAGCTGAGTCTCATGTGTCACCCAGGGTTGGGGTGGACTCAAGAAAGTACTATGTGGCCCTAAGCAGGTCCCTTTCTCTCCCTGGGCCTCAGTTTTCCCATTTCTCTATTGGGGAGGGGTTAGGGATCTAGTTAATTGACTGCCAAGATCCTGGCTCTGATAGTCCAGGATGCTGTAAGCCTAATGTCGGTCCCAGGACTTGGCCTGCTCAGCACCTAACAAGGCGATTAGCTCCAGGTCTTTCTCTCTAGGGAGGCAACAGGGACAGAAAACAACAGAGATAAGGTCTCTTGGCAGCACAGAGCTCAGCTCAGGAGCTCTGGGGATGGACCTTCCCTCCTGCAGAGAGGCTATTCCAGGAGGCTGACTGCTCACACCTGGGTGGCATTTTCAGCCTCCTCCCCTCCTGCCTGGGTGCTGGCTCAGTGCACCATCCCCAAACACTCTACCAGGAGGTCAGTTGCAAAGAGTCTTGTCACAGGCTTAAATAAAGGGGGCTTGGAGAGGTGGGTTGGGGGTGGGGTGGGGTGCTGGCCAAGGTGCTGAATTGTTGCCCACCAGCATGGTTATTTCTCCTTACTCTGAGACATCCACAATACTACTCAGTCTCCCTGGAATCCTGAACCATATATGGGAAGAAGGAATAATAGGAACAGAGCAGGAACTCAGAGAAAGAATGAAAGATGTATCAGGAGGCCTCCAAAAATAGCAAGAGGGGTGAGGACTTTTATTTTGACATGTGCTCATTTTGCTTTTATTTGAATGAAATTATGTGGCCCCTCACCCTACTTATACAGAATAGAACAGTCTTCTATCTTCTTTAAATTTTTGACAGTTCTATCATATTTCTATTATCAAATGCGCCCCATTCACCCTAGGAATTTGAAGTACAGCGAAATTGACGCTTTGTCCCAGAGGGTTCCTACTCTGATGTCATGACAAGGGAGGGCCTTTCAAAAGGCTGGAACTAGAGGCACAAAACCTCCCCAAAGCTCCCTTGCTGTGAGCTCCCCAAAGCTGTGGGCCTGGATGTGATGAAGTCTGAATGCTGGAGGAGCCTGGGGTTTCCTAGCATAATCCTGAGGCCCAGAGAGGGTTCGTTTCTAGCTCAAGGTCACAAAGCACATGGCAGAGCCAAGACCAGAACCCAGGTGTCCTGGTTCCCAGTTAGTACACAGGGGAGGGAGAATGGCCAGCTGAGAGGGCCTCTGCCCAAGTCAAGAAACAGTACAAAAAGGGGGCAGGGCAAAAACAAGAAAAAAGGTGGGGGCAGGGCAGGGCTGAGGAGGGAGTTGCTCAGAGGAGGAGGCCCACATGTCTAAGAATGTCAACAGGGGTGTGTGTGCCCTCAGAGGTGTGGACTCAGCTCCTTAGAGAGGAGGAGAGAACAAAAGGGTCCCAGAGTCGGGAAGCCCTCTGTGGAGCAGAGACAGCCTGACCAAGCATGCCAGTCAGCATCACATGGCAGCTGCTGAGAGCACGGATCTCAACCCCATCATTTCACAGATAAGAAAATTGAGACCCAAATGGGAAGCCACCAGCCTTCGGGCTTATCCAGGCCCAACCCACATCTCCCAACTCCCAGCCTTTGGCCCTTTTCATGCAAATGTTAATCTCCCCCCACCCCCACCCACCCCCTGGATGCTGGTGCCTCCTCCCACCCCCAGGAACCGGGGCCTGAGCAGAAGGGGAGTGGCCAGGGCCCCCAGAACCAGGCACCAAGCGCTGGATGCCTTTCTCTGTCCTCCTCCCCAAGGAGAAAGGAAAATTGGCCTGGACCCTAACCACTCCTCCTCCAAGGGCAGAGCCAGCTGGTGCCTTCCCACACCTGGTACCTCCTTTGCTGGCAACAGAGCCCAGAGCCAGCATCAGCCACAGCAGGGACAAAGCTGCCCACAGATGCTGGAGCCACCAGATACCCCAGGCAAGTGAGGGTATCAGAAGTGACAGCCCAGGGGGGTTCCCTGATTCCACAGCACTAGACTCAGCCTCTGGGCCTCAAGTGGTTTGGGGGTTTTGGAATCTTTCTTCCTAGAGAAGCGGCTTTTGCCCCCCACGCCCTGTAGTCTGGACTCCTGGACCTGCTTCCTTTGCCCACAGCAAACCCCAGACTGAACCCCCTACCTCATCAAACTTCCAAGTCTACAAACGAGGAACGGGGGCTAAGCAGCTTTGTTCCTACTACTGGGAGGAGATGCAGGTAAGGCACCCCCAGAAGGTCCCCAAAAAGAAACAAAGATCAGCTGGAGGGGTGTGTGTATCCCCACAAGTGTGGGGCTGTAGGTCTGAGACTTGGACGAACTTTGCTAAACATGGATTGGGCCCCAGCTCCATCCCTGATTCTCCAGTGACCCTGGACAGCTCCCTTCGTTGCCACCTTCAGGGTGTCCATTTCTCATTGGAGCACAAGAGAGATGGGTGGCCCTGGGTGATGCGGCAACCCCCGGTTCTAAGGTTGTAACTCGAGGCAGCCTCGTGGAGTTTGCCCAGCAGTGCCCATCCCCTTCACCTCCTCCTTCCTCTGCCACACTCCTGAAACACCTCCTCTGTCCCTTTCCTTTCTCCATCAAAATTTAGCCTCCCCGTGTGCCTCAGAATAACAGGTTTATGGTTTGAGATGCTGCCCCCTCCCTGACCTAGGCACATTTCTAACAGGAACCGAACCATGCTCAGAGCAGCTAATGGTGGGATTTCAGGCACCACACCAAGCGGGGAACTTTAGGGGGGCTGGGAGAGGAGCTGGGTCTTCCTGTGACTCTGCATGGGCAGCAACATGGGGCCATTGCTGTGTGGGCATAGATCCGTAGACATGACAGCAGCTCCCGTATGCCAAGCCAAGCCAAGTCCTCCTCTTGGCCCAGCTTTCAGCTCTCACTCCCCCTCTCCCACACCCTGACATCAACAGTGACACAACACATTTTTTCTGTTTCCAGGGGCTTCCTTTTAATGTTTATATAATGTTAGTTGAGCACACTCAGAACACTAGGACACCAAATGGACAGCGTTAGCATATGTGGGTCCTTAAAACCACCGTGCCCCTGCCTAGAATGCCCTTGCCTGCCTCTTTCTTCCTGTTGAAATCTTACTCATCCTTTACATCCCACTCAAGATGAAGCTGTCCCAGCAGAACTCAGTGCTGTGGGCACCAGCCACATTCCGGGTCTCCTGCTACCACTAGACCACAAGCATCTCAAGGCAGGGATCACACTGTTCTGCCTGCTGGGTGCAAAGAGGGTCTCGGGAAATGGTTGCTGGCTGGAACTGGCTAGTGTCAAAGCTGGAATCAGGAAATCAAGTTGGGGGGTATCATAGAGACCAGAGGTAGCTCCTCCCAAAACACACCTGGATAGAAACTGAGCCCCCAGGGTGAGCCCCACTGACCACTCCCAGCCAGATTCTGCACAGGGAAAACCAAGGAGAGCTAGCAAAGACTAGCAACATGGTCTGATTGCTTGCCTTTTTAAAAAATTATGAAATAACTTATTTTTATCATATAAAAATTCAAATAAATATAAGACCATAAAGCAAAAATTCCCCTCATCTGGCTCCCAGCAGCTGACAGCTATTAACACTTTGGTGTAAGTCCTTCCAGACAGTTTTGCTTATGCATAAATAAACTAGAATTTTCTCTTTCAAAAATATGATCATGCTTCATCTTTCTATGTGTTCTGTGGAGTAAATTCCTACAAATGGAATTGCTGGTCAAAGCTTTGTTCATGTCTATAGCATCTTACTACACTGACAGACAGTGATTGCAATGGGGCAGATGAGGACTTAATAATATGGGTGAATGTTGAAACCACAATGTTGTTCATGTGAAACCCTCATAAGATTGTATATCAATGGTACTTTAATTTAAAAAATGTATTCCTAAAAAGAAAAGTCTTGCTCATTTAAAATGTGTTCTTTTCCTAAGTAAAATTATTTTTTCTTCTTATAATATGCTCATTGTAGAAAATTTGGAAAATACAGTCAAGACTCACAAAGTAAAAATTGCCCATCAGCCACTGTTCACAGGTAACCACTGATAGTGTTTTGGTGATAACATTTAGTCCTTTTTTACGTGTGAGTATGCTTATTTACAAAAATGGGAACATACACTCATATTGTTCCATAGCCTGTTTTTTCTCCCCCACTTAATAACAGATTGTATATCTTCTTCCATATCATTAAGTAGTCTTCTTAAACAGTTTAAACAGCATCAGTTTAAACAGAACGTTTGATCTCAAGCCTCCCCTAGAAGCTGTTTCTCCTGACCTGCATTCTGAGTAGAGAGCCTGCTGCATCAGTTGGCTGGAACGAGATTGCCTCCTGGTATAACCTTGATCTGTCACCCTCCTTTCAGGAAGGCAATGACCTGGAAGACCTTGAGCACTTGCCACCTCCATCCCTCCTGAGCTGAGGCCCTGACACCCCACTGATGGGCACGGACACCCCCTGCAACTTCTCCACTGCTGCCCACCGCTGCAGTAAGTAGATGTCTACCCCTTTCCTCGGCCACTTTCCTGGACCCTGGCCACGAGGCAGAAAAGGCCCCTGCACTCAGCTGGTGGAGTGGAGAAGTGCCACTTGCCCTTGTACTTCAGCCCGTTCTTGAGCCAGCTTTCCCTCGTGTTGATGGGACTGGGGAAAGAACAAGGGAAAGGAGACACCGGGAGCAGGGTCTGCGGAGGGGCCGAGTCACTTGAAAGTCTCTGGTTCCCAAAGCAAATACCGAACCTCCCAGCCCAAGCCTATGCTCTGCCCCAGAAGTTTACTAGCCAGATAGTGTGGAATTAAGTGTGATCTTGGACAAGACATTTCTCCTCTCTGGGGAGATCTCAGTCTCCTCACCAATACAGCATGTGTTTCCTAAGGCACCTTTCTCGCTCTGGAATTCCCACATTTCCAAATGCTCCTTTTTCTCTCCTGTCCCTGCACACCTTATAAACTGTTGAATCTAATTATGCACCAGGCTTTGCTTGAGGCATCATTAACATAATAATTACTATTAGCTGTCACCTCATATCATCCTCACAAGCCTGAGAAGAGGTACCACTTTTATCCCCATTTTACAGATGAGAAACTAAGTCTGGAGAGTTAAGATAACTTTCCAGTAAAGTGGCAGAGTTCACATTTGAACCCAGAGCTGTGTGACTCCCACACCTGTATTTCTTATTATCCTTGCATCCTCCTACAACTTTGTGCTGTGTATAGGGATCATTCTTTCCCTGCTATAGTTGAGGAAACTGACATCAGGGAGGAGAAGTGAATTCCTCAAGGTCACACAGCAAGTTTGTGAGAGGGCTGTGTGGGCTTTGTGCCTCCCAGGTCACTGTCACCTCCTGCCCAGCACTAGCTAGTGTTCCAAGAGGGAAGCTGATGACCCAGAAGCAGCCCTTGGGCTGGAGTCAGATGCCCAGAACTGAGCAGGGCTGGGGCGGTCACGTGGGGAAGGCTCTGTTTGTCCAGCCCAGCCTGGTCCACCTTCTCCCAGCTCAACCCAGAGGAGTGCTGACTTTGGGCAAGCCCCGAAGGAGGAAAAGGTGACATTACTTGTGGGCTTGGGGAAGGCTGAACCCTCACCTTCTCTAGTCTCCTCCAAGACAGCCCTGCTGTGCTTTCCACTCCCTCATTCAATGACTCACCCAACAAATCCCTATTGAGCGCCTACTAGGTGCTAGCACCAAGAGAAGCAACACAGAGGTCCCTCTCAAAGAGTGGACAGTGACCGAGGCCGGGCTAGGAGAAGGGGGACTCACGGGAACTCAGAGAAGAGGAGCCTGATGGGGAGGTGCTGCTGAAGCTGAGGCCTGCAGGACAAGTGAGAGTTGGGCAAGGTGTGCTGAGGAGAGGGAACAGCATGTGTGAGGCATAAGAGGCCAGAAATGAGATTATATGTCTGAGGGGCATTGTGAATGTGAGGCAAAGGGGCAAGGTGATGAAGCTGGAGAGGAAAGCAGGGCCAGGTCGTGCCATGCTGTGACCCATGTGAAGGCAATGGGGAGCTATGACAGGTTTTAAGCAAAAAAGGAGTAAGATCATATTTGTATAGGATGGGGCAAAGCTAAGGCATTGGGTTGGGTGAAAAAAAAAGTGAAAGCTGGAAGCAGTGAGTGTTCTCCTGGGAGTACGAGGGCCTGCTTCAGAGCTAAATGACTCAGCCTCACTCCCCTATCTCAAGGGCCCCAGAGAGGACAGTCACAGCAAGCTGGCAGTTCTGTGGAACAGGATCTAGAGCCCATACATTTTTTCTAGCACCAGCAGAGCCCTTAGAATTTGATTCTTGAGGTTTCCCAAACCACAGTATCCCTGGACAAAGGTGTCTGGGGACAGGGAGCTCACTAGCCCATTCCCCTACTGGACAATAATGATTAGGAGGTCTTTTCTTACTTGGGTCCCCTTGTGTCTCCCCTGGTCCTAGCTCTGTGCTCTAGGCCCCCCAGACAAGACTGGGCTCCTTTCCGTAGGACAGCCCTCTAAAAACCCTTGTGTTTACTCCTTTCCCACAACACCTTCCTGTTCTTCAGCTAAGGAAACTGAGGCAGTAGTACTGGATTGCTCTGCTACCTTAGCTGACATGGATAAAGGGGAGTCAACCTGGGTTTGAATCTTGACCTTGCCCCTTCATGGAGACACTTCACCTCACTAGCCTCAGTTTTCCCATCTGGAAAATAGGAATAATAATATGTACACTTGCAGAGTTGCTGTGAGGACTAAATGAGTCAAACTAATATTAGTGCCTAATGAGAGTTAGAATTTATTGAGGAACTATCATAAGCCAGGTGTTGTCTTGCTGGGCTGGGCCACATGCCTGGCCCACAGTGAGTGTTCAATACATGCTTACTGGAAAGCACACAGATCGCATGAAGGTGTGGTGGCAGCATGCAGACCTGTGTTCAAGTCCTTCTTCTGCCCCTTATTAACTTTTTAACCTCAGACAAGCCAGTCTCTGCCTCTCAACTTTCCCGTCTGGTAAATGGGAACTTGTCAGGTTGGATAAAACAAGACATATAAAACACCAGGTGTTATTGGCATCAATTCTCTCCCTTCTAGTCCACAAATGTGTACGAAGCACTTTCTAATTGCCAAACACTGGCGGGAAACAACTATTGGTCACCTGCCCAACATCACTCAGTCTTTGCCTCCAAGCCTGTTCTTGTCCTGTACCATGCCTCCTCTAGACCTGGGACCCCAATATTGTGTGGCCTCAGTTACTAAGGGCAGGGGCACAGCCTGCACTCAAGGAACAGTCTGCCACCCCTGCCTGACGCCTTCACCTCCTTGGCCAGTTGTGGGTGGCTTGCCGACTGCAGCAGTCATCGTCCCGGTCCTGCTCTCCTCATCCACTCTGCTGGTCATCAGCTACATCTTGTGGAAGACATGCCGCCAGTGGTCTCAGGCTATCCATCCCAGCCTGCTGTTCCCATGAGGTAAGTCACACAGGGACCCCAAGGACAGGGAGCTTCCATTTCTTTTTTATTCTTAGTCTCCTTGAGCACAATACTCAGAAAAATCCTATAAGTCTGTATTGCTCAAAGGTGTGACATGTGATCCTTAAATCAAAAGGAGAAACTCTCCTTACTCTCTTGAGGCAACAAGATGTGCTGAGCTGGATAAAAGCTCATAGAGGCTACAAACATCCAGGTGAGGCTTGGATGGCATGACAACTGCCAGGGCCCTGAATCCCTGCTCAGCCTAGAGCCACCCCTCTCCCTTATCTACTGACTGAGCTCTGGGATTCTGAGGGACAACAAACTGAGGAAGTGGGTCCCATGTAGCTAATACACAAAAGCCCAGGATTCTCACTGCTGCCTTAAGATCTCAGGACATCTGCTCTGTCTTCCAGCCACGGTTCATGGCTTCTCCCACTCATCCAATAACCCAGGTGTGTACCATGTACCAGGCATGCTGGGTGCTGGGTTTATAACAACAGATGAGACGCAGACTAGTAATATAGTGGTTTGAATAGAACAATGCCAACAGAGTAGGAGAAGCACTTGGATGGAATTCAAGAGTCTGTGGGAGCATAGAGCAGAGGCCACTAACCAGCCAGGGGAAGAGGGTTAAGGAAAGCTTCCAAGAAAAGACATCTAAACCTAGACCTGAAGGATGACTAGGGGCTTGCTGGAAAGAAGGTAGGACAGGACAGTCCAGGCAGAGGGAACAGAAAGTACAACATAGGGGCTGGCAAACTTTGGCCCACTTCCTGGTTTTATAAATAAAGTTTTATTGAAACATAGTTATGTCCATTCACTTATGTATTATCTCTGCTTTTGCTCTACCCAGCATAGTAGAATAGTTCTGACAGAGACGCTATGGCTTGCAAAGCACAAAATATTTACTATCTGGCCCTTGACGGAAAAAGTTTTCTGACTCCTACAGGTTAGAAAACTCATGCTGCTTTGTAGCAACATAGTGACTAGGGGATGAATTAGAAATGTGCAGTAGATAGCTTACGATGAGTTCTTCTTCCCTTAGCCATAGTGGATTGATCCAGGAATAGACACATCTGATTTAAGCTTATCTAATCAGATTCTCTCTCTAAGAATTTGAAATGTGGAATATAAAACTGGAGAATGGAGACAAGCTGAGGCCCCCAGAGTGATTAGTCAACAGTTCCTTTGATTCAGAAAGCCCTTGCAATCAATCCCTCAAACTTTTAATTTTCATTTCCTTTCAAGTCAGTTTCTGTTACTCTTAATGAAAAAAATTTCACTAAAATTAAGAGAGTGGAGAAAGATGAAGCTGGCAGGGAATACAGGTTTAGTCAACATGGTCCAATATAAGTATAATATGAGTCACATATGTAATTTTACATTTTTTAGTAGCCACATTTTAAAAAGTAAAAAGAAATCAGTAAAATTTATTTTAATGCATTTTATTTCACCCAATATATACAAATACTATCATTTCAGTATGTAGTCAATATGTATGTAACAATTTTTAAATTGTTAATGAGATAGTTTAAATTTTCTTTTGACTATGCCTGTGAAATCTGGGGTGTATTTCACACTTACAGTATATCTCAAATCATACTAGCCACATTTCAAGTGCTCCACAGCACATGAGGCTGGTGGCTAACATAATGAACAGCACAGATTTAGACTCTCAGGGCCGTGGGGGACTGCTAAAGAGTCCTGACTT